CGGGGGTGCCGGCGCGGGGCTGCGCCTGGAGGCAGTGGCCACCAGGAGCCTGCGCTGCGCGCGCCGGCCACCAGGGGGCGCGCGGAGCTAAGGCGAGCGAGGGCTCCCGCCGCCCGGCCTCCCAGCGGCCGCCCCCCGCCCCGCCTCACCTTCGGGAACCTCTCCTTGTAGACATGGTTCATCATCACGATCTCGTTGTCGTAGGAAGAGGGGGAGCGCCCGGGGCTGCGGGGAGAGAAGCCCATCCTGTCCAGCCCCCTGCCTCCGAAAACAGCCAGGCACCAGATTCCTCCCCACACCCCCCAACCCCGGTAAAACTTCACCCATCGTGTTGCAACTCGTTTAATCACGCGGACAGGGGTCTCGCAGTACACAGACCCCCAGATCATCAGCTTGGGTGGGTGTGGGGGGGGTGTCTGCCCACCTGAGGCTCCGTGAGCGAGGCCGCACGGCAGGAGAGCGGCGGCCACCATCCTCGTCAGTGATGCTCTCGGTGCTGCCAAAGTGTTTGGAGAGGAAGTGGAGCTCATCCACGGTAGGCTGGTAGGGCAGCTGGTGCAGGCGCTCCTGGGAGGAGCAGGAAGACTGCGGGGAGGAGCGGGGCCGGGGTCAGAGCCACCGCAGTCCCCCCACATCTCGCGACCCTGGGCTGGGACTCCTGGGGCTGATGGGCCACTGGGCAGGGTCGGGATCAGGACCTGGTTTATGATCCTTGGATCCCAGGGTCCAGGTTGGGACTCCTGGAGACAGACAGGGGGACAGGGACAGACACGGATGAGAACTGTGACACTCACACAGATGTGGCCAGTGGGAGCCTGTTTAAAACCTGAGTCAAGTCACATCCCTCCTCTGTTCAGAACCCTCCATGGCTCCCACCTTACTCAGGGTGGACCCTAAAGTCCTTCCCAAGACCCACAGCATCTTGCAAGATTAGGTCCTATCTCTCTGCCGTCACCTCCTCCCACTCTCCCCATCATTTACTCTGCTCCAGCTGCACAGTCCTCCTTGATGGTCTTTGAACAAGCCACACACACCCCTGCCTCGGGGCCTTTGCACTGACTGTTCCCTCTGCCTGGAGCATATCTACTACTGATCATTCCCCCTTCACATCTTTGCTTAAATGTCACCCCTCTGGGTGACATTCATCCCTCTGAATACACATCCATCATTCCCTATCCCTGTCCTATCTTGTTTCTTCTTGCCATATTTATCTCCTGACTTACTATATCTTTACTACTAATTTTTATTGCTGTCTGCTCCTTGATGGTAAGATCTTGCTTCTGCTTGGTCCCTAGTCAGGACCTAACATGCACAAACACAGACCCACAGATATCAGTGGAGAAAACAAGGATATCCACTGGATTCTGCAGGCAGAAGGATCCTTTGAAACATTACATCACTCACTCCCCATCCCATCAGAGTCTATTAAAATAATTTTTTCAATGCACATAACCTATGACCTACAGAACCACAATTTCAAATATCTCAGGCTGAAATTTTAGTATAATTTAATATAAAGCAAAAAAGACTTTGTATGGCTTCCCACCACATTTAGAATAAGATCTACTTCCCTGCCCTGGCTGAGAAGCCCCAGTATGACCAAGGGTGCTGCCTGCCTCACCCCCGTTCCTCCACTTCCAACCCAAAGCTCCAGCCACTCAAAGCTATCTTCAGCTTTCCAAAGACAACAAGTTGTCTGTTGCCTCTGGGAGTTTACACATGCTGTTCCCTTGTCCCCTTCCTGAAACACTCTTCCTTTCCTTCTTCCACCTGCCAAACTCCTGCTGCTCCTTTGTCTTGGTTTCAATGCCACGTCTTCCAGGAAGCCTTCCTTGACCCTCCCCCCTATATTGCTATCACCTCGTCTGGTGCTACTCCCATAACAGCTCCCACCACCCCGTGTTGCAAATGTCTTCTTACTGCTCTGTCTCCCCTCGTGAGGGCTTCATCAGTCCTTGGATCCTGGCCCAGCTTATAGAGCCCACCCACCATATGACAGTCATATAAACGTCTACTGAACATCATACCAATGGATGGATGAGTGAACCAGAAACACAGGTAGAAAAGGGAGCAGATGGAGAGAGAGAGACTTTGGGTGTTGCAGGGGCGGAGCAAATGTGTTCTGGGTGAAGGGTGTGCTGACCTTGGCCAGCTGAGCCCCTTGGGCAAGTGGCTCAACACATGAGCCTTAATATCTTTATCTGTAAAATAAGTCAGTGATGAGTAGGACCCCCAAGAAGATATGTTGAGGGTGGAGAACAGGGCTTTCGAGGGGACCTGTAACTTGCCAATAGATGGACGGGTGACATCTTGGAAAACAAGAAAAACCCCAAACTCTCCTTAAGGTCAGCCTGACCACTGGCCTGGGTGTGGGCCTTCAGGTTGCAGGGCTTCCCTGAAGCTCCCACCCACTCGCCCACCTGCCAACTCACCGAGACGGTGGAGCTGGGTGTGTTGGTGCCATAGCCAGACGAAGGAAGCGAAGCCAGAGACCAACGGCGTCCATCCGCCCTGGAACCCAGCCAAGATGTTCAGAGGCTGCAAGGCCCCACTGGTCCCCCCACTCCTCAGGGTGTGATAGAAGCCATTGGCCACCACCAGGGTAAGGGATGCGGGGATATATCTGTGCTCTGCCTGAGATTCCAAAAGGCCCTCAGAGCCAAGGGGGTAAAAAGGAAGTCTTGCAGCTAGGCACCAGGGACCTGGAGCAAAGATCAGTCTCCTCTGCTCCTTACGATGATCCTCCTTTCCTGTCATCCTCACATCAAACAAGCCTCCAAAGCGAACCCCGAGGAGGACCAGAAAAAGCCCGCTCAGGGAAACCAATCCAGAGGAGTCCCAATAGTTGCCCCCAATGAGAAAGCGCTCAGAGTGAGACCACTTGAGTCTTTTCAGAGAAGAAAGGCCCCTCCCTCAAACATACACACACACACACAGACATGATCACTCTCATGTCCACACCCACTAGTGTTGTTGCGACTAGTGTGGTCAAATTCACACACTGACAGTCACACACATTCACACATGACTCCTCAACACACTCACACACACTCACTGTCCCCTACGTGGATCCAAATATCACACTTTCCTACACTAACACCCACACACATGCAAAACCAGTATACACTCACATATAAACACATACACTTAGAGACCCAGTATTCACCCTCTGACACAAAGACGCACACTCCCCCACACACTTTCTACCCTTCCATATTCATACAGACACATTTAAGAACCCTCACGCACTCAGTCACACATTCGAACTCCCACACAGCCACACATTCATTCACACTCCCACCAGATTGCACACTCACATGGAGACATTCCTGGAAGGGCATGCTCCCTCACATATTCACACACATTTACAAATGTACACGTACACACTCACACATGTTCACATTCTGCACACCCCTATGGACACATGTGTAGGCACGGGCTGCCTCACATTTTCATAGTCTCACAAACTCATACTCACACATCCACATCAGCACACAGATCGCACATCACAGGGACACACACTCCCATGCACGAGACTCGTCCCTCATTCCTCCCTCCAGGCAGTGCCCTCCCAGCCCAGGCAACTGCATCAAGCCCAATCTTAGAGCCATTTTCTGGCTCCCTGTTGCCCTCAGCTGAATTCCACAGCCAAGAGGGTCTTCCCCACCCACCCCAGGGAGCCATCCTCTGTCCCCACAGTCCCGTGTGAGTCCCACACGACACGACAGCCTTCACCAGCCTTTGCGGTGATCCAGGTTTTCTGGTGTGCCACCCCAACTTAACTCCGAAGATAGAGACGGGGTGTCATTCACCTGTTATGCTCAATTCCCAGATCACAGCACGTGTTCAGACAACGTTTTTAGAATGAATAAAGTTTAAAGAAAAAGAGACCCGCGCAAACATCCTGGTGACTCCCAGAAGTTTCTCCAAAACACATTGGAGGAATCTTTTTGCCTCCCCCAATTTCGCCAAAAGCCCGAGGAAATTCATTAGCGACACTCCAGAAACCCCCAAAGACCCCAGTAGGGACACCTGAAATTCCTCCTCTTGGGCCCTCGAGAAATAGCCCCAGGTGCCCTTCCTCTTGTTGGAGATCAAGAGTCCCTCGGTGGGCATCATGAAGTCTGCGCTTGCGCACCTCATCTCCGCTCCCTGTCCTGTTGCTATGGAAACGCCCGGCCAGGAACTAGGGGCTGGGGAGACTGAGACCCTGGGCTCAGGGCGCAGGCGCTTTCGCTCCAAGGCAAAGGAAGTCCCACTCCTCCTCTGATTCCTGATAGGAGGTTGGCCCCGCCTTCTCATAGACCCCGCCCCTAAGGCCAGGCGCTTATTCCCGCTGGGACGTTGGGGCACTCTGCGCGTCCCTCAGGCCCTGGCTCAGGTGCAATTAGGAGGGGAACAGATGGTGGCCCAGACGGTGGGTCGGGAGGGTCCGGCCAGGGTTCTAGGGCCCTGGAGAGAGGGACTCACCTTCGGGAGGAGGCAAACGAGAAGTGGGCGGGGGTGTTGGGGGAGAAGTTGCGGGGGCTGTCCAGGGGACTGCTACCTGTGGCGGAAAGAGGGTGATTTTAAGGCTTGGCGTGGGAGGCAATCCCACCAGGCCTTCCAATCCTCAAAGAGGGTTGCAAACACCAGCTCCTCCCCGCTTTAGTCTAGCCACACCCACGTATGAGTTGACCACGGCCCCTTAGCTGTGGCCCCGCCTCCCTAAGTTACCGAGTCAGCCCAGCCCCCCTCCAGGCCGGTTCTGTCTTCATCAGAGATAGCCCCGCTCCTCAGGTATGGTTCCTCCCTTCAGCCCCATCCTCTTTTCAATCTAGCTCTGTCTGAGCCTCTGCCCACCAATGCCTGTCCCTCAGCCGACTGACCAAGGCCCCACAAGGATGGTCCCGCCCTTTGCCCAATCCGGCTCTTCCTCTGTCCAGACTCGGTCCAGTCCTGCGGCATGAACACACCCTTCGCCTGTGGCCCCTCCCTTAGGCTGTGGCCACGCCCCTAACAGGTGGCCACACCCCTTCTAGTCTGGTCCATACCCACCACCTGTCTCACCCAGGTGTCCAGGCAGTGGGGAGTGGGGTCGCGGCAGCGTGGGCGAAGTGCTGGTCAAGATGAGGCTTTTCCGGTTACTGGTGCGGCAGCTGCGCGGAAGGTGAGGCAAGGGGACCGGGCCAGGCCACAGCCCAGTGAGTTTGTGAACCCAACCGTCCACCTTCCCATCTCAGACCCCCACCTGTCCCCTCTCTGTGGGTGCTTGGAGGTGCCCCCAGAGGATTGCTCAGTGGAGGAGGTGACAGAGGTCTCAGCATGTGTGACCATGTGAGCACAGCGTCAGTCATGGAATAATAGACATGCTGTCCATGTGACACCATTGGAGACACTGAGTGCATGTGTGTCTTTGGGGCTGTGCATGACATTCTCTGTATGTATGCACATGTGGCACCCAGGGTGTGAGCTCAGCACTGGGTTGGGTTTATCTTATGTGATACAACCTGTACCTTTGTGTGTCTGTGTGGCACAGTGTGCAATGCCACTTGCCCATGGCTGTGTGCCATTGTGTGCTGTACCACATGCGTGTATGATTTCTGCTGCATGTGTCTATGTCTTTGTGCGGCGTTCTAAGTCTATGTGATATCCTGCCCTTGCGTATGTGACAATCTCCTCATGTATCCACGTGTAGCATCTATCGTGTCTGAGTTTCACACCCTGTGATACTGGGCATGTTTGAACCTGCCACCATGGATGACATTCCCTAGATGAGTCTTCCATGTGTGATTCTGTGTCTCTCTATCTCTGCAAGATTCCCTGTGTCATTTATTCTGCATCCATGTAACACTGCATGTGACATGCTTAGGTGATATGATGTGCTGTGACATTGTTGGGTGCATGGATGTCATTGCCATACATATGTCTGTGTGCATCTTAGATGCCAGAATCATGTGTGTGTGTGTGTGTGTGTGTGTTACCATGCAGGTGACATCTTACTGGGTGTACACAACACTGTACCTGTGAGCTTACTCGTCTGTGTGTGATGCTGGGGGGTCCCTGTGTGTCTGGGCACGACTCGGACCTATGGCCCCTGTATGCGTGATGGCTCCAGGGTGTATCTGGGCCACTGGGGCTGTAGTGTGTGTATGTGTGTGACATCATGTCCTACGTGACGCTGTGTGTCACTATTTTCCGTATGAGGCTGTGTTCTTGGTGGGGGGTAGTTTGGGCTATGATAAAGCCCCCCCTTTCCCTCTGCCCCTCAGGATCCCAGCTTCTGAAGAGGGAGCCCCCAGCCCCTCCATCCCCCTCACTCCCCGCCACAGTGACTGAGCATATTAGCGAGGCCAGGAACACGCGGCATGGGGGTGGGGGGGAGGCCAGGCTGCGGCTATTGTTCCGAGGGTGCCAAGTCCCCCACCCTCCCCTTCTTCCCCTACCCCCACTGGGTTGCCGGAGTCCGCAGCGCCAGCACACAAAGGCGCCGCAACCCCCCACCCGGCGCAGCCTCCTCCCCCCCCGCCCCGTGGCTGTCCTCTCCGGCATACAGTCCCCCCAGTCTCGGCCCACACAGTCCCCAATTCAGCCCCATCCCCCCTCAGGAAGGGGCCGCACGGGCACCTCTGGCGCAGCTGGACCGGGTGCAGCATCCCGGGCCCCGCCCTGCGGCAGCGGCCAGAGGGGCGGCTTTGGTGGGGAGGGCCGGGTCAGGGTCTGAGGGATGGGCTTCTACCTCTTGGTGCGGCGGAACATACTGCCGCCAGGGAAGGAGGGCATCGAGAAATTGGAAAGCGCGGTCCAGAGAGAGTCAGACATGACCCGGCGGCGGCGACATGGTGGCAGGTGCGGCAGTGGCGGCGGCAGCGCGGGGAGGGAGCGCGCGGGGCGGAGGCTCCCTCTCTTTCTCAAATAAATACACAAAATCTTAAAAAAAAAAAAAACTTTATTTGTCAGAGGGAGAGAGAGAGTGCACAAGCAGGGGGAGCGGCATGCAGAGGGAGAAGCAGGCTCCCCACTGAGCAAACAGCCCAAAGTGGGACTTGATCCCAGGACCCCAGGACCATGACCTGAGCCAAAGGCAGACACTTAACTGACTGAGCCACCCAGGCATCCCTAAATAAATAAATCTTTAAAAAAAAATGATGATGATGATCATAGGCAGCGCTGTCCTAAAACCTTCACTCATTCAGTTCATCTTCAAAACAACCCTATATTCCAGGCCAAATTAGAATCCCTCTGCCTGGCATTCTCTCCTCTCCAGTCCCTGGGCAGCTCCCTACTTCTGCTCCTTCGGTCTCTGCTCCATTGTCACCTCCTCATGGAGGCCTCCCCTGACCCCACCACCCAACTCTAAAAATCACACCCACACCCCACCTCCTGACTGCATCCTCAATCGCTATTACCCTACTCTACTTCTCCTGTTTTCTACCCCATGAAGCCCCTTCTAAAAAGCCATATATAAATTTCTCTATCATGCCTCTCAGGGCCAAGACCAGGGTGAGGCAATGAGACATTCACCTTGATGCCAAAAATCTCAGTCTTCAAGATAACTGATATTTTAATGCAGTATTTGAAAAAATAATGCAAAAGATCTATGATAAGCAAAATAACAAAATTTAAATAAGGATAGGATCCAGTAGGGTTGTGCCAAGCCATATTGGAGCTTGAAGCAAAAGGAATAGTGTGTGGCAATCTATACATGGTTTCTCAATGATTTTTTTAAAGTTGGATTTATTTATTTGAGGGGGAGAGGGGGGAGAGGAGGGAGAGGGAGCGGGAGAGAGAATCTCAAGTAGACTTTGCACTGAATATGGAGCCCTGTGCCGGGCTCGATCCCATGACCCTGAGATCATGACCTGAGCTGAAATCAAGAGTTTTACACTTAACCAACAGAGCCACCAAGGAGCCCCTCAGTGATTAACAGTTTTAATGAAAATATTATTGATGAGTTTGTTTTCATTAAAAGCAGGAAAGTAAAATTCTAACAAATTCTAGTTTGATTATAAATAAAATACTTGGGGCACCTGGGTGGCTCAAGTCGTTAAGCATCTACTTTCAGCTCAGGTCATGATCTCAGGGTCCTGGGATCCAGCTCCACATTGGGCTCCCTGCTCAGCAGGGAGCCTGCTTCTCCCTCTCCCTCAGCTGCTCCCCCTACTTGTGCTCTCTCGTCAAATAAATAAATAAAAAATCTTAAAAAAAAATTTTGAAAAATACTTAAAATAATGTTAAGTTTTAATACACCTACTTTTTAATTTTTTCAATAATTAATGTTTTTTGGGGGGTGAATCACTTGCCTCATCCTAGTCCCAGTCCTGATGCCTATTATTTATCTTCTGACTCTTCCTATTAGAATGTCAGCTTCCTGAGGGCAGGGACTTTTGTTTGTTTTATTTCTAGGTAATTCTCCAGCTTCTAGGGCAGTGGGAGGCCCAAATAGGTGCTTGATGAATATTTGTGGAGTTAATGAATGAGTAAATTCCCTTCTTATAGCAGAAGGACTGAGGCACAGAGAGGTTAAGTAACTTGGCAAAGGCTGCACAGTAAGTGATGAGCTAGATATGAATCTAGGCCATTTGGAGTCTGTGCCCTCAAATCCTATGAACCTAGTGGCAGAATCTAGACTCAAACCAGATCTGATGCTAAAACCCATAATGATACCAATGTACTGCCCTTCAGGTCTGAGTGGGGGCCTACAGCCCAAAGCTCTGTATTTTGGTCCTTGTGCCCTTATCCAACTTCATTTCACTTGGCTTCTGTGCTCCTGGAATTTCCCAGACTCGATTCTCACGTCTGGCTCTTCACCCTGCTCAGCACACATTTCCCCCAGCATTTCTCATAACTGTCATTTCCTCATTATTCTTGCCCCAATTTCAATGTCACCTCCTCCGGGGAGGCCTCCTGGACATTACAAGGCAGCCCCTGACACTCTGTCAGGTTGCCCTGTTCTATTTGCTTCATAGCCCTAAGCATCAGCTGAAATCCAGTAATTCCTTGATTTGTCTGTTTCCATGTTTCCTATCCACCTCCCACATTAGAATATCAGCCCCAAGGGGGCGCCTCGATGGTTTAGTCAGTTAAGCATTGGACTCTTGATTTCATTTCGGTTCAGGTCATGATCTCTGCCTCATGAGATCAAACCCCTGCCAGCTCCCCGCTCAGTGGGGGAATCTGCTTCTCCCTCTCCCTCTGCCTGCTGCTCCACCTGCTTGTACACTCTCTCTTTCTGTCAAAAATAAATAAAAATCTTAAAAAAAAAAAAGGGCGCCTGGGTGGCTCAGTCAGATAAGCGTCTGCCTCCGGCTCAGGTCATAATCTCAGGGTCCTGGGATCAAGCCCCGCGACGGGCTCCCTGCTCAGCGGGAAGCCTGCTTCTCCCTCTCCCACTCCCCCTGCTTGTGTTCCCTCTCTCACTGTGTCTCTCTCTGTCAAAT